CATAAAAATTATACCAAGCATTTCCCTGCGACTGGCAAGTGTAGGAAAGTTAATAAGTTTTAAGCGACTCGTATAAGGTGGAAGACTATATTGAGAATCCCATCGGAAATTTCTTAAAGCAAAAAGTAGGAATTGTTTTTGAATTGATTCTATCTTGTCTGAGTAAATTTGATACCTTGGATTCCAAACCACCGAGCCGTATTCCAGAATCGGCCTAACTAATGTTGTAAACAGGGTTTTAGTGATATAAGGGTCACTAAATTCTTTTGACCATCGTTTCACAAATGCAAGTACACCTTTAGCCTTGTTGACTGTCACATTAATGTGAAGATTAAAATTAAGCTTAGGATCCATTGTGATACCAAGGTCCACAAAATTGTATACCTGTTGCAGGTTATGGTTACCTATTATATAAGAAACTGGCAGAACAGCTCTTCGCGAGAAGCACATTACTTTACATTTCTTAAGATTTAGAGGCATAAGATTTACTTTACACCAGTAAGCCATACTGTTTAAGTCTGATTGTAGCAAAGACCTTTCTTTAATTGAAACGCACGATTTATAAAGTTTTACATCATCTGCATACATTAAAGTTTTGGAGAATTTTATATCTGTAGAAATATCGTTTATAAAAAGCAAGAACAGAATCGGGCCTAGGTGACTACCCTGAGGGACTCCTGAAGTAACATCAATGACGTCAGAGATAGTATTTTTAAACAATACCCTTTGTGATCTATCATAGATGTATGAAGAGATCCAACGTAGAAAATTAGGTGGAAGACCAAGAAGATCAAGTTTATAGATGAGCAACGAGTGGCACACTTTGTCAAATGCTTTACTGAAATCAGTATATATAACATCAACAGTTTTGCTTTCACTAAATGCTTTTGAGATATAGGATGTTAATTCAAGTAAATTTGTAGAAGTTGATTTGCCCTTGCAAAATCCATGTTGACTGTATGAAATGCTTAAAGTGATAGAATGCGTCAACCGATTTGTTATAATTGCTTCAAATAATTTAGGAATTGCAGAAAGCTTAGCTATGCCCCGGTAGTTCTCCACTGAAGACCTGCTACCGCTTTTATGTAAGGGGGTTATGAACGATTCCTTCCATACAGTTGGAAAAACGTCCGGACATATTAAGATGGACGGGGTAGAATGAAAGCCTTGGCGACACGCGGCTTAT